TGAGCTGTACTTTTCATTGTGCTATGGGTTTGATCCCACCAGCAGTTACAATTTGGATGTATCTCATTTTCTTTTTTTTCTGTCACCCTCAGCACTCAGTTCATCCAACTCAAATCATTCACCTCACAGCCCTCCCCTGTCACTTCTGGTGTCCCCCAGGGTTCTGTCCTAGGCCCCCTCCTCTTCATTATCTATCTCCTTCCCCTTGGCAGCATCCTCCGTAAATTTGGCATACATTTTCATTGCTTCACAGATGACACCCAGCTCTACCTCTCCAGCAAACCCAACGCCTCCCTACCACCCTCCTCCCTCACCCACTGCCTCTCAGAAATTAAATCCTGGTTCACCTCTAACTTCCTCAAACTCAACTCCAATAAAACAGAACTCCTCCTGGTCGGTACCAAGTCCACTCTTTCCAAAACTAACAGTTTCTCCCTCTCCATAGACAATTCCACAGTATCCCCTTCCCCTCAGGTTAAGAGTCTGGGTGTCATCCTCGACAGCTCTCTATCATTCCACTCCCACATCAGTAGCATCACCCGGTCTGCATATTTCCACCTACGAAACATCAACCGTCTCCGTCCATCACTCACTCCTCACACCACAGCTATTCTGGTCCACAGCCTTGTTTCTTCACGCATAGACTACTGCAACTCACTCCTCCTTGGTGCCCCTCACAAATCCCTCCATAAACTTCAACTTGTCCAAAACTCTGCAGCCCGCATTGTCACCAGAACCCCCTCTTTTCACCACATCACCCCTGTCCTTCAGCAGCTTCACTGGCTCCCCGTCAAGTTCAGAATCAACTACAAAATCCTCCTGTACACTTTCAAGGCCATCCATAACCTTGCCCCCCACTACCTCTCCGATCTCCTCCACATATTCACCCCCTCACGCTCCCTCAGATCCTCCTCCTCCCTCCACCTCTCTGTCCCCTCTGCCCGGCTCAGCACCATGGGGAGCAGGACTTTCAGTCGCTCTGCTCCCAAACTCTGGAACTCTCTCCCCCCGGACCTCAGGAACATGGACTCATTACCCCACTTTAAATCCAATCTCAAAACACACCTATTCCGAATCGCATACTCACTTTAACTGTCTACTTTCACACCTGTATGTTGTTTTTTATTTATTTTAATTATGTTTCTAGCTGTGTTTTTATGCCCTGTAAAGTGTCCTTGGGTGCTCAGAAAGGCGCTTTTAAATAAAATGTATTATTATTATTATTATAAAAGTACAGTCAACACATAACAGAATAAAAGCACACATTGTCTTATCAAAAAAATAGAAGGTCCCTTTTACCAGCGGTCCATTATAATTATAATGATAATCTAAAGGCGATGCCAAATGATGAGATAACTACTTTATTTGTGTACAAGCTCATTTGTGTCTTCTCCCTTATTTAAATGTAGGGCACTAGACCACTATCATCCCCAATAAAAAAAAAAGACATTTCCTCTATACACGTTTTTTTCTACTGTTTTTTTCTACTGTTTTATTCAATGTTTGATGCAACATTGCCACATGAAGTAGCCTGTTTTTTCTAAGTTTGCCTACTTTGGTTTTAAGTGTTACCTATGTAGCTGCTACATAGGACCTTCTCTGAGACGCAGCTAAGGTTAGCTTGACTGTAAGCCTGCCTGGGACCAGGCTTGTCGCGCTGGCTGAGTTACTATGGTTACCAAGCCACGCTAGACCTAAGCCTCGTTTGTGGAACCGAACTCTCACTAAAATTAGCCAAGCTAACTGAAATAAGCCAGGCTTTGAGCTAAGCCAGTTTCGTGGAATACCCCCCTGGTTTCACTCGTATAAGATCAGACAGAGATGCTCAAGCTAGTGGCAAGAAGAAAGGAGGAGGTCTGGCTTTATTTGTCAATAAGAGATGGTGTAATCCTTCACACATAATGGTCAAGGAGAAGTTGTGTTGTCCAGATATTGAACTGTTGGCAGTTGCTCTTCGGCCATATTATATTCCAAGAGAATTTAGTCATATCATAACAGTAGTTGTTTACATCCCACCCAAATCAAGTGAAGAAATTCAGTGCGATGTTTTGCAAAATAGTGTTGCCAGGCTACAGACTCAACACCAGGAGGCACTAATAATAATATCTGGAGACCTCAACCATTCCACTCTCTCCTCTCACCTGACTGGATTCACACAGTTTGTGAACTGTCCTACCAGAGAAAACAAAACCCTGGATCTGCTGTATGCCAATGTCAAAGAAGCCTACAGAGTCACTGCCTTACCACCACTGGGCAAGTCAGATCATAACTTGGTCTATCTGCAAACCTGTTACAGACCTTGTGTGTTGAGGCAGCCTGTGACCAAAGTCAAAATCAGAAGATGGACACCTCAAGCCAGTGAAGCTCTAAGGGACTGTTTTAAATCAACAGACTGGAATGTGCTGCTGGAAACAGATGTGGATAGTATGACCATCTATAAACAGGTTGACTGCTTTACTGATTATGACAACTTCTGAAGAGACACAGTCATACCCACAAAGACTGTTTTCCCAACAACAAACCCTAGATCACAAGTGACATAAAAGCAATCCTTAACCAGAAAAAGAACGCTTTTAAATATGGTGACAAAGAACAACTCAAACAAGTGCAACAAGAATTGAAGAGGAGACTGAAGATGGCAAAGCTGGAGTACAAAAAGAAGACAGAGAATAATCTACAACACAGCAACATCCGTGAGGAGGAATCAGTACCATCTCTGGACACAGCAATAAAAAGAAAAGACAGCCAGTGGTGGGTGATCTGGAAAGAGCTGATGAACTCAACCGGTTCTTCAACAGATTTGACACTGCTGTCACACCCACTTCCACTGCTACTCCACCTTCCTCTCCACAACAAATCTCAACTACAACTTCTCCCCTTCCTCCTCCCATCTCATTCAGATGTCTCAACCACTTCAACTGCCTCCCTCCTAGAACACCAGTCCTTGTCTGTCACTGAAACAGGGGTGAGGATGGAGCTTGGAAGACTTTGCCCTGGGAAGGCAGCTGGTCCAGATGGTGTGTATCCAAGGCTGCTTAGAGACTGTGCTGCAGAACTGTGTCAACCTCTCCACAGGATCTTCAACCTGAGTCTACCGCTGGGGCAGGTACCTACTCTGTGTAAAACATCCTGCATTCTGCCAGTACCAAAAACAAAATGTCCTGCTGAACTCAATGACTACAGACCAGAGGCCCTCACTTCCCACATCATGAAAACCCTTGAGCGGCTGATTCTACGCCTTTAAAAGTCTGAGGTCAAAGACAAACTACATGCTTCACCGTGCCCTGTCTCATCTGCAGGAACCTGGGTTTTATGTGAGGATCATGCTCTTCAAGTGCATTCAACACCATCTAACCCACTATACTCAAAGACAAGCTCACAGAGATGGGAGTGAATCCTTCCTGTGTTTCCTGGATTGCAGATTACCTGACAGGAAGGTCAGAGTTTGTCAGGCTGGGGAACTGTGTTTCTGGGACATTAATGAGCAGTACAGGGGCTCCACAAGGGACAGTGCTGGCGCCATTCCTGTTCACACTGATTCTGTCAGACTTCAAATACAGCACTGAGTCCTGCCACATCCAGAAATACTCAGATGACACTGCTATTGTGGCACGTATCAGAAATGAACAGGAAGCTGAATACAGAGATCTGATAAGAGCCTTCAGTGACTGGAGTCACAAAAACTGCCTCCTCCTCAACACCTCAAAGACAAAGGAGATGGTCATAGACTTCTGTAGATCCAAACCCCCTCTTCAGCCAGTGAACACCTGTGGAGTGGACATCGAAGTGGTGACATTATATAAATACTTAGATGTACATCTGGATAATAAGTTGGACTGGTCTAAGAATATAGACTTTATCTACAGAAAGGGGCAGAGCCGCCTCTTTTGCCTGAGAAGACTCAGATCAATAGACATCTGTAGTAAGATGCTGCAGAAGTTTTATCAGCCTGTGGTGGCAAGTGTTCTGTTCTATGCTGCAGTCTGCTGGGGAGGAAGCATCAAACACAAAGATGCAAGACGTCTTATCAAACTGGTGAAAAAGGCTGGCTCTGTGGTAGGACTCAAGCTGGAGTCAGTGGAGGATGTGGTGGAGAGATCTACACTGAGGAAGGTGGAGTCTATTCTTAAGAACATGGATCACCCACTTCACAACACCTTGATGGACCAAAGGGCAAATGGTGGTGGACGGCTCCTCTCACTTCACTGCAGGACAGAAAGATTTAGATGATCTTTTGTACCAACAGCCATCAGACTTTATAACTCTTGTGTAAATAGTAGATAACTTTTGGAGACATATTATGTGAGACAACAGACAATTGAATTTCCCTTCGGGGATTACAGTTCTCAGTCGCTTTGGTACATTTCTCGTATCAGAATTGAAATTCTCAAAACTACGTGTTCAATCTTCACATCATTGTGTCACTTGTGCACGTCAAAAAAGCAGTTTCTCATTTCTTTGAACAACTTGCAAATGCTTTGGTACATCCATGCAAATGATTATGTACAATTTTCTGCTGTTTCCTACATTATCAATTGCTTATGTCATGTTGATCAAAATGTATTAAAATGGGTCTCTGTTGAATAGTCTCACCCCCCACAACATTTAGGCATTAGATCATCGCATAAGTCTTTACATGCAAAATGGTTGAACAAGCTGTCATAATATGTCAAGCATATTTCTATACATTTCCATTAGACGTTTCTGAATCTGTCCTGAATTGGTAAATTGCTCCCAGGTGAATCTTGACTTTCTCTAATGGTGGGAAATGTGTGAAGCATTAGATCAACCAATGATCAACCAGTTTTCTGAAATAGCTCAAAGGTGCATCTCATGAACCATCGACTGGCAGGTATATATATTGCCAGAGCACAACACAATGTTACAATGTCTGACAATGGAAGGACAAGGAATTGGACAGGGTCAACAGCCAGAGAGAAGAAGAGGAAGAGGACTGAGGCTACGTGGCGGAGGAGTTGGGAGGCAAAACAGAGGAGGAGGCAGAAGAGGCAGAGGACATATGCGCGTTCCTGATGAGATAAGAGCTACACTTGTAGACCACGTTCTCAATCATGGGCTTACAATGGCTGAGGCTGGTCGAAGGGTGCAGCCAAATGTTGGGAGAACAACTGTGTCCTCAATCATTCAGACTTTTCGTTGACAGAACAGGTATGTAATCTAACAAAAGGCACTATACCGTAATACTTTCTGTAATGCTTCATACAATATTACTGTATTCGACTTTCATTTTACAATATACAGTAAGTATACTATGTACAGTGACATTTTATCTTACTCAATTTTGTGTTTTGCATTACTATATTTTTTCCCACATAGGACTGCAAGACAACTTCACAGGGGTGGCAGAGGGCCCCTTTTCACACCTGAAAAGGAGGAGGCTATTTGTACCATGGTTGTACAAAACAATGCCATAAGACTAAGGGAGATAAATAGTGCCATGATGGAGGACAACAACATATTTGAAAACATCCAAACAGTCAGCATCTCAACCATTGACAGGGTGTTGAAAAGACATCAAATGAATATGAAGCAGCTGTACACTGTTCCATTTAAAAGAAATGGTGAAAGAGTGAAGGAGCTGCGCTACCACTATGTACAGGTAAAACATGTATGAGCATGCAGTAACTGTACCTCACAGTAAACAGTACAACATCATATAGTGATATACAGTGCAGTAAATGTGACCTTTACACATTTGCTATGGCTGTAGAAAAGAAGATGCAATATGTGCTGTATACATTTGATGTAACTGAATGTTGTCCAGAATGAATGCATGTAATTCATAAAACTCATTTTGTGTCTTCTGGATATAGCGTATGATGGAACTGGAAGCATGTGAACCACCGCACAACTTCATCTACATGGATGAGGCTGGCTTCAACCTAACCAAACGCAGAAGGCGTGGTCGAAATATCATCGGCCACAGAGCTACAGTTGATGTGCCAGGCCAACGGGGCGGGAACATAACCATGGGTGCTGCTATCTCTGAGAATGGTGTGCTAACGCATATTCCCATTATTGGTCCATAAAATACAGAGCGTCTTGTCACCTTTTTAGACACTCTCTACAGGGATCTCATCCCTGAACAAGAGAGGGGTCGGATTGGAGATGACTTTCCAAAGTATGTGATAGTTTGGGACAATGTCAGTTTCCATTGCTCTAACATCATCAGGCAATGGTTTGGCACCCACAACAGGATGCTGATGGAGTTCCTCCCACCCTATTCCCCATTCCTTAACCCATTGAGGAATTTTTCTCAGCATGGAGATGGAAAGTATATGATCACCAACCACATACACAGATGACCCTTCTGGCTGCCATGGATGCAGATGCCTGCTGTCAGAATAATATGTATAAATGTATATAGAAGTTATCATTTTACTCATATTCTTATATAAGAGTTTGCTACAAGTGTGACCTGTTTTGACCTCTTGTTACACATCATATAAGAGTGTTTTCTAACTTCTCTCTCCAATAGCTTTATTACACAGCACATGAGTGTTTTTTAACTTCTCTGACCTTGTTTCTCCTATCAGCAGGTATGTGTACATCAGAACATCCCTCCAGAGTACACTGTTATATTGACAACATGACTAAGCAATTTGACTTATCCGTACACATTGACACAAGGACTTGTCATTCTGATGGCACTGACATGTTCATTGACACAGATATTTACTTTTGAGAGATGTACTAAGGATTTTGAGCAAGAGACTGGCTTTTGAAGGTAATCCATGGTGTTTTGCTATTTGTACAAATTGTTTTGAGAAATGCACTTACTGTTTTGCAAATGTCGAGGATGATTTGAGAAATGTACCAAAGCGACTGAGAAAAACTGTAATAAAGTTCTTCTTATTCATATTCCAAAATAAGGGAGCCAATAATTAATTTTATAGGATCATACTTTGTGGTCTTATCAAATCTGTTTTAAAAGATGGTTTTAATTTGTTAGGTCCATCTCATTAAATAAAATTACATGTTTTGTATGAAAAGCATTGTGTGATTTATATTGAAAATCATGTTCTATTTTAATGTTCGTATTGGGCTATAATGCTTTAATCTGTTTCATCAATTTTTCAAATAGTTGTACTTTAAAAATCAAACGGAAGTCATTATTTTATGCATAGAAATGTAGTTGTGGTCAAATGTAAATGTGACAAATATTTTTAGAGCAACTCTGTAGCTACCACTTTAGCAACAACAAAAAACATACTATTGCTACAATTTTACTGAGAAAACTGAAACAAAGTATGACGAATCGAAAAAGCTAGGGATCATTAAGAAAAACCAAATTGATGCTATGAAAACAAAGTGTACATTTGTGGCTAGAAAAGTTATCAAAATTAAGCTTAAGCCACAAGCTATTTTAAAATATAGCAATTTCCACTGAAAATAGAGGGGACGTCCTCCATGTTTTTTTGTTGAAACAGGGGAGAAAACCTTCAGTCACGTGAGCTGAAGTCTGCCTGCAGAAAAGACTGGGCAGATGAAATGTACCCATGTCACAATTTTAGGGCCGCTTTTGTAAAATGACTTAAGTTTGCGCAGTAGATCATGTAGACCAACGGAGGTATTTCGCATTTTTGGATGAGACTGTGTTGCTCATACATGGGGGAGAGTGGGGGAAAAATGAGCCATTTTTCATATTTCAGATCACTACATCAAGGCAATTATAGTTTTCCCTCTAACTAGTGTATCTGCATATATTTCAAGATGTTGTGCATCCCTGCAAACCAACAGAATGAGTGTAAACATAACTGTCTTAATAATATAGAATGTCAAATTAAAAGTATTTTCCTGTGTTGAACTTACCCCGTGTATGGGGTAAGTTGACCATAGGAGCAGGGTAAATTGAGCTGTATCCAGTGGCGGTCTTACCATTAGGCAACATTAGCTGCAAAACATGCAAAAACAAATGGCACAATCCCCAAGAGACGAGAAGAGAACAGAAAAGAAGAGAAAGGAAGGAAAGAGACGATGAGAAGAAGTTACCCCAGCAGAAATGAAAAAATGAAAAAACAAACAAATATCAGCATTAAATATCAGCCAAATTGTTATTTTAAACAGCGGTATCGATGTATCCCTAGAGGGCCCATGCCTGCCTTTGCCTAGGGGCCGTAGTTTGGCCGTATCCCTATTACCCCTCCACCCCACCCCTCCCTCACCTTCTCTCTTGCTAAATAACAGTCACTTCCTCACATTCATGTGTATTTTTATCTATTATATGCTATTCAACTGGTACAATTTTTTAAAATTATTTTTGCATATAACTGTTAAAAAGCTGTTTTGTAAAAAGTCATTTTAACATGAGAATGCCTTTGAGTGATTCAGAACATTCACAGCTGTATTTTTGAAAAGAAAAAGTAACACGTCTCAACAATCTGAACTAAAACTCTGATCTTCTCATCATATATTTTTTGTCACTGCACTCATATTGATGAGAGCAGTCACTTTTTTTTTACCTCCTCCTCTCCCTCCCTCTTGTGTGTACTTTCCCCATCTGTGAATGTAATTTCGTTGTGCACAAGTTACAATGACAATAAAGACCATACCATACCATACCATACCATAATAAATCTATGACAGACTCAATTCACTTTCAAGAGTGAAAACTGTTTTTTAGAGAATAAATGTCTAACCCCTTCACCCATGTGCTTATAACCTTCACAGACTCCATAAATTGATGCCCATCTCCTAAATATTTGGTCACATGATCAATTTCTTTGACCATTTCCAAGCAACTTGGCAACTTACCGTTTGGCTCAACTTACCCCACTGTCCCCTACCAAAAATATAGAGCTATGAAGTCATGGTTGTTTCATCGTTTAGTGCATGTTGTTTTGGCTCTTGATGTAGTCTGTCAACCAGGCCCAATAGTTAGGAGGTGAAAAGGGGCGTGTTGCCACCTACGGTAGCAGAGGTGGACATGCTTTTCAATGCTGTGGTTGTTGCCCAGTACTTGTAAACAATGAGGAGGACATTAGTCCAGTTAGACTGCCTAATCGAGCTCCCTCACTGTGCTTGTGAACTGACCTTTAGCCTTTCCATAAATAGCTACAGTGGGACCACCTGTAAACCAAGTTAGCCCGTCTCTGATTCTCCAATCTCGTAACTGTAAAGTCTTCGAAACGCATAAAGTAAAATTCAGTCCCCATACAGTGGGTGCCATGGTACCCCTGTCCTCAAGATAGAGTTACAGGCAAATTTGTGAAAACATTTAAACTTTTAGCCTCTAACTCAGTTGGTATTGCTTTTCATTAATAGTTAAAGTAGTTGAATTAAAAAAATGTTTTGCATATTTGTGTTACAGCTATTGATGTTGTGGTACATTAGACTGGTTAAATAGAGGAAATTTGGTCTGAGAGTTTAGCAAACCTTTAAAAATAGAAGGAAATAAGGAGATCTGATTTACGTAAGAAACAAACTTTACTTTCAAATGTTTTGGCTGGTGCTTACAGGAGCTTACCAGCTTGAAAAAATGTTGTCAGTAGAGAAAAATGCACTCTCAAGCCTGTATTTTTCTATTAACATGTGTGTATGAACCGAAAACTCGAAGTTAATTTAGCATAGTCATTAAACCTTTACTGTAGCTACTGTATATTTCAGGCTAGATTCTTTGAAAATCATTTGCTGGAAAATTTTTGTGACATTATTCAGTGAGTAAAAGGAAGAGTGATCATGAAACATTGTTCAACACTGGAATAGAACAAGATGATTTACATTAATTATTCATTCTGATGTTAAATAATAAAGCAGGTCTTTATTTCTAGATAAAGTAAAACCTAGGTGACTTAGGAAGGAGTCCAAGCTTGCGTGACAGTCTTTTATTTTTGGTTGATCCCTTGTTAACAAATGTACATTTCTGCTCCTCTGACACAAACCCCCCCCACCCACCCCCCCAATCCCCCCTGCTGTTTAAACGTCCTGTTCTCTCATGTGACTGTCTGTCTGTGTATGCTCATGTAAGTCAAAAGGTACAGCTCTCTTTCTGCATCAGAGAACATTTATAACGGCATTTTTCATCTTTTACTTCCCATGGACATCATGGCAAAGCCGTTAAAATCTACTGCCTGAGAAAAAATTAACAAACTGATAATAAAAGATGAGGTAGCACTTTACAATGACGACCTGTTATAAAGCATTTATTAACATTTATAAGCAGTTTGTAGATGATTAGTAAACATGAACAAACTGTTTAATGACATTTGTAAGTGTATAACTAAACATTTACAAACTGTTTAAACATCATTTATATGTTATTATTAAGGCATTAGTAAGTTGTAAATTAATCATGAACAAACCATTTATATACGTTTGTAAATGATTAATAAATCATTTGTAATTAAAATTATATATTATTTATATTCTATTTGTAGATAAGTTACTAATCATTTACAAGCTATCTATATGCCTTGGTAAATGATTATAAAATGTATGATAACGTTGTAGAACATTTTAGAATCTTTAAACATTGACATTTGTAATGTTTACTAAATAATGTATAACCAAGCTGTTTGTAGAACATTTATAAATCATTTAATAATTATTTATTCTTGATTTTAGCTATCATAAATTAATGTTTACGAATTCATTTACAAAGGTCTGTTAAGGTGACTAAATGTTTGTTCATGTTTAATATATGCTTTGCAAAACATTCCTTAAATACCTATAAACCATCAGTAGATGTTATTAAGAGCCCTTCCTCCTCCATCCGCAACCTTGGACTCATCTTTGATACCCACCTCACTTTCGAACAACACATCAAACAGGTCACTAAATCAGCCTTTTTTCACCTCAAAAACATTGCCCGTATTCGCCCATCTCTCTCCCTCCCCGCAGCAGAAACCCTGGTCCACGCCTTCATCACCTCAAGGTTAGATTACTTCAACAGCCTCCTGTACGGTCTACCCTCTAAACTCCTCAACAAATTACAGATAGTCCAGAATTCTGCCGCCCGCCTCCTTACCCACACCCGTTCACGAGACCACATCACCCCCATCCTCCTCCGTCTACACTGGCTCCCCATCAAGCAACGCATCATGTTCAGGATCCTCCTTCTCACCCACAAAGTCCTCCATCATCAAGCCCCTTCTTATCTCACCGACCTACTCCAGCCTTATGTACCCCCCGTAACCTCCGTTCCTCCTCTGCCCATCTTCTCACCCAACTGTCACAGCCCAAGCACCGAACTTGGGGGGGATCGGGCATTCTCCACAGCTGCCCCTACCCTTTGGAACTCCCTACCTCCCTCCATCAGACACTGCCCTGACCCCACTACTTTTAAATCCCTTTTAAAAACTCACTTATTTAAAATTGCTTTTAATATTTAACTGTTTTGTCCATCTTACTGTTTTCATGTCTTTGTCTTATTATCTTGAATTTTACGTACTATGTAAAGCGTCTTTGAGTGTTTTTAAAAGCGCTGTACAAATAAAATGAATTATTATTATTATTAATGTAAAGTGAAGACTATTCATTATTTATAACTGTCATTTAAGGCTACCTCAGTGTTTGTTCATGTTTAATATATGCTTTACAAAACATTCCTTAAATACCTATGAATCAGTAGTTGATGTCATCAAGAGCCCTAATGTAAAGTGAAAACTATTCATTATTTACAAGCATTTGTTAATGTCGCCACCACGTTTGTTCACATTTAACAGACATTCGTAAATAATGAATTGTCTTCACTTTACATTAGGGCTCTTGATAACATATACCAATGATTTATAGATGTATTAGTAATGTTTTATAAAGCATTTGTTAATGTGGACTTTCTACTTACCTGTTACAAACTTCCCGGCCTTCATGGGTGCTGACACGACACACGACTAGAATTCTCATGTTTAGCAAATGATTTGTGAGACAGTGCTAAGGATTAAAAAATATAAAAAACATTTGCACATGTTATGGTGTGCCCTGTCCAACTAGTCCAAGAGGCTGCCTTACAGACCAAGTATTCTACATTATTTCACATTTAACACAATGACCAGTGAAAGATTTAAACAATCTTGTACCACAATAAATGTGACAGACGTAACGGTGTAGAGAACAGCATTTAATTCAATAAAACATTTACCCTGAAAGGCGAACTGGGCATTTTCCTATAAAATGTAAACAATTCGAGAACAGGCATTCAGTGCAATATAGGAGGGTCCTTTTCAGCACCAGGACAGGAAATCAGTGCAATAGAAGAAAAATAATAATGTGTAATAATAATAATAATGAGATTATGTTCTCTTTGAGACCGGGAGTAGTTTCCCTTCATCCTTAAGCTCATCTACCTTGGCCATCAATTCGGGGTCCTCACTGAGGACCTTTGAACATTCCTGCACAAATACATTGAGCTTCTGCGACCTAGAATAGCCCTGCAGAACGTCAGCATATTTATCCGGTGCGGATATGGCGAGCTCTGGAATGGAGGCGCTGGCTGCAATGGTGTTTCTGTTGACGTCCACAGCGTTGTAGCTCTCAGACAGATTTTTGCCCTTCTGGAAGTGACCCAGCACCTTCTTGTACCTCTCAACCACCTGCTGAGGATTCATTGCTGAAATGAAAAATACAAAGAGAAATGTTTTATGAAATTTGATATAGCAGACCTACGATTGTAGCTGTAGATCTCTGCTGTCATTTCTGTAGTTTTTCTTGATACAACAGGCGTTTTGACACCAAAATACGTAATACGGTTGTACCCTTTAAACTAACAAAAGACTGAAAGATCTAATATTTAAAAATAAGTTGACACTATAAAGCAAAAGTACAAGTTATTAGGAAAGAGCGCAGATGTGTGTGTGTTGTGGTCCCCAAAAAGGTCATGTTTGCACAGCCCAGTTACCTCTGCGTCTTCCTTTGTCCTTACTGGACTTTGCCTTCTTCCTTTTTGGCCGTTTCTGTTTCTTCCCTTTCTTCCTCGTCTTCTTCTCTTTCTTCCTCTTCTTCTTCCCTTTCTTCTTTCTCTCCTCCTCTGAGGTTGAAGAGTAGGAAGATGACAAATAGGAAGATGTGGAGGTTGTTGAAATCTGGGAGTCACTGGATATGCACTCTTCTTCATTTGCCTTGGCCCTTTTTCTCTCATCTAAGAAAGCAAAACAATAGATACAAAGACAAACAACGAATTAGACACAATAGAGAGGGGCATCTTAGGGAATACAAAAGCACAAACACTGAGCATGTAGCAAGGCCTATATCACATCACAAACTACAAAAAGGAGCAGTGGGGCTGAGAGTGATTTTACTGGTTAACAAGGTTCTTAAAACTAATAACTCTAGGCTACAGTAGAACTGAACTGCAAATAGCCTATTTGAAGTTTGCAAAATTAACTAACCATTGAGTTTGTAGTTCTAAGTGCAACTGGGAGTTTGTTCCACAGTTTGGGGGGTAACAGGGCAAAGAGTCAAGGACGAGTGGATAGTTGTCCTGTCTAATGTAACTGAATACAAGTGGAGTACTTACATTTGGCCACTTCAGCCAGAAGGTCTTCCTTCTCTTTAGTTAACTTCTCAATCACTTTAGCTTGAGAAGCTTCATTTTTCTTGGCCTTCTCTAGCTGTATGCGCATCCTCTTTGCTGCCAGCTCAGCAGTGGGCGACTGGGACACAGGGTTTCCTGAAACAGAGATGATAAATGGTGATTAGTTAACCAAAAGTGCTTGTTACTAATGTTGTGTTTGCCAGCTATAACACTGAGTAATGGCATAAGCACAAGTTGTTCAATGTTTCAACTGGACCTAATGTGACATAACCCTTCGCATCAATCAGTACACACCATGTTGAGAGCTTGTAGATTGGCTATTTTCACTGTTTCTTAATACATATTTGAATATTTAATTATTTGATATACTTCGTTTCATAAATATCCTTTGTTTAGCGTTTCTTTTTTTCTTTTCATAGAATCAAAGGTTTCATGGTCATGATTCACTGGAAAGCTGGATGGCTTGGTTCTAAGTTAAAAATAATTGTTATAACTATATTTGTAAAAGCCTGTGGTGAAAATGAATGGGGCTCATTTTAGTGGAACCAGTAAACCCCGCCCACTATTATACTCTATGAAGGCTAGAATAATTCATTCCAAATAGGTCTGGGGAGCTTTGAAGCCTTTTTCAAATGAACCCATTGTGGATAAGGCACATTTGTTGGTCCCTGGGCTAAACATGAGTCGGTTTGAATCAGTATAAGCCAGTGGTTCTTAAACGTTTTCCTGTCAACACCTCCAAACTCACACATATTAGCCTGCAGAGCCATATTTGAAAAGATATGTCCCTTTTTGAGAGGCTAAAGTTATTGTTGATTAATTTAGAGTGTAAAAATAATGGACACTACCGGGTCCATTTGGTTCCTTTTGTATACTCTCAGAGTTACACACCCACAAGGGTCCCATTTAGTTCCAAATTATCATCTAGCGGGGGACCTCTTGAAAATCCGGCCTAATTGTAATTCGGCCCCTGCAAGCCCTGGACGATGTAGTGCCGTTGGTTTTGAACCCTGCTCCACTAACCTGAGCGATAGCAAGGCTAACGCTTCAAGATTCAAGATGTTTATTGTCACAAGATTTATGTACAAGTACATTGCACTGTGAAAAGCTGAGGTCGGGGTGCTCCATAGAATAAAAACAATAAATAAGTAACAGTGCAACTAGCTAACTAGCTACATTGATGTTCGTGATCAGTTCATCACAGTATTTTGCAGGACAAAACAAGTAAAAAAATACACGTTCCAAGCAACACACATGGCTTTTGTACAGTAGCTTACCTGTGCTGTTGCCTTCTTCCTCATCTTCAATAACACCTCTGGGTTTTGGACGTTTATTTCGTGCTCGACGAGTGTTCATTCTTGCAAACTATTGAATATTGAGAAAGCCCGCCACCTCAGCTCAGCTGCTCAAGAGCTTGTACTCGACCCACCCTTTGCGCGACATGATTGGCCAGTCGTCTGTCTTGATTGACATAGGAAGCATCCTCCCTATTTGCCTCTGATTTGGTTGAATGGCAGGTAGGGGATTGCCACGGAGCTCCCCTCCAATCCAGAAGCACGCTGATGTGACTTTTTTTCTTTTTTGGTTACGTATTCTGGCGGGACAATGTGACTGAGTGGCAAAGCTAACAGCAACAGATGAGAACTGAAAGTGAGGTTTGCTGCAGAGATTTTTCGTTTGTGAGCTTGTTTCTGCCAAAATGCCTGGTTTGTCCAGTAAATTAAGAGAATTGACAGATGGGAGGAAAACAACAAAAAGCACACACAAACTGATTAAATGGCTGCAAAAGAAAAAAATACTGAAAAGGAAGGTTAAATGCAGTTCATGCAGGACAATATGAAGCTGATGCTGCGGACGGCTTGTTTGGACAGATTTGAATGGTATGTATTTTATTTTTATTTTTTAATATAGATTGTATGTTTAATAAAAAAGGCTAAAAATATAATGTACTTAAATACTGTTATAAGGATGACTGTGTTCGTGTGTGTGTGTGTCTGTGAGTGTGTGTGTGTGTGTGTGTGTGTGTGTGTGTGTGTGTAACTAGTGTATATCAAGTCAAGTGGGCACTACAGACATCTGGGCACCATATGTGTTGGATGACTGGGCACCTGGACAACTGGGCTCTAGGGACATGTGGGCACCTAGACAACTGGGCATTAATATTTTACCTTTTTTGAACTACTTCCATTTAATTACTTCCTACTTCCATTGAACTACTTCCTACTTCCATTTAATTGTTATTTTTTGGTACTTCTCTTTTGGCAAATACACTCTTCTATTGAATTTTGAAACTCTGATGTTATATACTTTTGACCTCAGAACTATTTTGGCAAAATAACTCTTTTGACCTTGCTGTTGTGTCATGTTGGGGGTTTAAAGAACAGTGGGTCAAACAGCATGCTATAAATGAAGGTGTCTACTCGTACAGGTGCCCACATGTCCCTAGTAGTGCTCGGTTGTCCAGGTGCCCACCTGTCCATTGTTCCCAGTTGTCCAGATGCCCACATTTCTCTAGTGCCCAGATGGTTTGGTGCATAGATACTATATCTCTGGTGCCCACTTGGTTTTGTTTAATGCCCATCTGACCTGTTACCATATTAGGTAGGAATATACTGTATGTTCAAGTTGTGTGCGTGTTGTGTGCATGTGTTTGCGTGCGTGCGTGTGTTTGTGTTACTAAAGTAGCTGTCAGGTTGCTCAGTAAACAATTAAACAGCATGTTTTTTTGTTGTACGTTTAAAAAGAACATCTGAATGATTAAGTATATGTTCCATTTCACATTTTCTTTTAGGATATGTCGACGCAACCACCGAACAGTGAGGAGGTCAATTCGGCACAAGAGCCTGTTTTCCAAAAACAAAATCTCACTGTGCAATTGGATGAGATTTGTGTACAGGTTAGACAACACATACCTTGTGTGTTTTATGTTTATATCTATGTAGCCAGGTATTGAGAACATCAATGCAAATTAATTAATATAGCCTAAATTGTCAGTGTTGTAGGTCTGCTATAAACTAGAATCATTGTCATCATGATGTATTATGCTTTTCAAGATTCTCCCAAGGACTGAGGTTGCGGCAGATCGACCTCATCAGTGATGACATTGCGGGATCATCAAGAACCCTGTCAAAAATGTCGAAGACCATGAGAGAGGTCTGCAAAAGAGCCATGAAAAAGCTGCAGAGAAGGAAAGGACAGTGGATAGGGGGGAGGAGATACTTTGTAGCTATAGATGAGAGTCACTTCAGGCATAAAAGAAAGGTAATAACTTTAGTATAATCCAAATTAAGTTGACAATCAGAACCATATTATCACTCACTGTAGAAAAATAAAAATGGACTATGTTGAATAATGATTATGAAAGTGAATTGTCTGGTGACTTCTGCTCAGGTCATGCTTTTTTTTTAACTCGATATCAATGTCTTGTTGTTTTCAAATCTTCAGTATGGAAGGGGCAGAATGGCTGGGGCCTGGAAAAGAAAAAAATGGGTCTTCGGAATGCTGGGAGTGCAGCGCAGAGGACAAAGCAAAGGGAAACCTGTGCTCCGCTTGGTGGAGAGGCGAAGCAGAGCCACGCTAGTGCCATTAATTAATCGGTACATCAGGAGAGGGTCAACCATCATTAGTGATGAGTGGCGAGCTTACAATGCTCTGCCTCAACTAGGCTACAGGCACTATACTGTAAACCACAGTGTTGCCTATGTGAATCCAGTAACAGGGGCCCACACCCAACATATAGAGAGAGCCTGGAGAACATATAAGGAGAAGATCTGGCGACTTAGAGGAAACCGCACAGAGGAGCTCCTTGAAGACCACCTTTCAGTCATTGAGTGGGAAGACTGGCTTGCAAGGAAACACCGACATGGCCCCTTAGGTCGTCTACTGCATGACATGCGGGTCAGGGGATGAGTCAGGCAGGGACATTACTACCTCATGGTGGAGACTCAAGTAGCTTCTACTGACTAATGACCCAGTCATCAAATTAATGGCTCTGAGCTTCATGGGTGGGTAATTGATAGTGTTTAAGTGTTTTCTGTATGTTTTATGAACAAACATATTTTATTTGTTTAAATGATAACGTGAGCTGTTCAGGGTAAATGTTTTATCAATTTATATTGGAATTAAATGTTCAATGCTGTTCTCTACACCGTTACGTCTGTCACATTTATTGTGGTACAAGATTGTTTAAATCTTTCACTGGTCATTGTGTTAAACGTGAAATAATGTAGAATACTTGGTCTGTAAGGCAGCCTCTTGGACTAGTTGGACAGGGCACACCATAACATGTGCAAATGTTTTTTATATTTTTTAATCCTCAGCACTGTCTCACAAATCATTTGCTAAACATGAGAATTCTAGTCGTGTGTTGTGTCAGCACCCATGAAGGCCGGGAAGTTTGTAACAGGTAAGTAGAAAGTCCACATTAACAAATGCTTTATAAAACATTACTAATACATCTATAAATCATTGGTATATGTTATCAAGAGCCCTAATGTAAAGTGAAGACAATTCATTATTTACGAATGTCTGTTAAATGTGAACAAACGTGGTAGCGACATTAACAAATGCTTGTAAATAATGAATAGTTTTCACTTTACATTAGGGCTCTTGATGACATCAACTACTGATTCATAGGTATTTAAGGAATGTTTTGTAAAACATATATTAAACATGAACAAACACTGAGGTAGCCTTAAATGACAGTTATAAATAATGAATAGTCTTCACTTTACATTAGGGCTCTTAATAACATCTACTGATGGTTTATAGGTATTTAAGGAATGTTTTGCAAAGCATATATTAAACATGAACAAACATTTAGTCACCTTAACAGACCTTTGTAAATGAATTCGTAAACATTAATTTATGATAGCTAAAATCAAGAATAAATAATTATTAAATGATTTATAAATGTTCTACAAACAGCTTGGTTATACATTATTTAGTAAACATTTACAAATGTCAATGTTTAAAGATTCTAAAATGTTCTACAACGTTATCATACATTTTATAATCATTTACCAAGGCATATAGATAGCTTGTAAATGATTAGTAACTTATCTACAAATAGAATATAAATAATATACAATTTTAATTACAAATGATTTATTAATCATTTACAAACGTATATAAATGGTTTGTTCATGATTAATTTACAACTTACTAATGCCTTAATAATAACATATAAATGATGTTTAAACAGTTTGTAAATGTTTAGTTATACACTTACAAATGTCATTAAACAGTTTGTTCATGTTTACTAATCATCTACAAACTGCTTATAAATGTTAATAAATGCTTTATAACAGGTCGTCATTGTAAAGTGCTACCAAAGATGATAATTACAGCACCTAGTTGCAGTATTCCTATATATTAAGCCAAAAAATATGTCTGCCAAACATTTACTTTTTATTTTACAGCCAGTAAGAAGTTTGGATTTCTTGTGATATTTGGTACATCAGGAGACACACTGTTTTATATTTTATCTTAGGTTTAGACTATACATTAAATTTAAATAATATGACCAGTATGACCTCAAACATTGGTTTCTTGACTGTGTTAAGAGAGCATTAAGTTTAGCAAATGACTGCCACCATGCTGATATACTGGAGCCATGAGGAAAGAGTGATGCTGAACAGGAGTAAGAAGTTAGAAAAAGCCAAGCTCTCAAAGATGACCCGTTAATTCATCAGCTACCAAGCTTTTCCTCATGGTGTAAAATTATGTTTGTTTCAAATCTGACAGGAGGTTTTTATCAAACAGCCCAAAAATGCTAGGAAAGATAGTAACTGTCCTCTTTAAGTTCACATCAGACAAGCCAGCAATCCTGGCATGTTCGCACTGGCCGAAAAAGAAATCAACATATGGCAAACACTGAAAGAGCAAACAGGATATAATTTTAAAGTAGTAGCAGAGAGGGTTTCAGTGAATAAATGGTAGTCTACGAAGATAAAGTGGTTCATGAAAGTAAAAATATGTCCAGATGAGCACACCCCAGGTCTTACTACTACTTTAGTTATTCAACTAAAACTGTTTTTGGTGTCCAGAGTTTCCTTAATATTGACTGGTTTATAACCTATGTAAGCATAATCATCACTTTCCAACAACTGAGCTTTTCTAGACTCAGAGAAAAGGTTAAAAACAACATTTAAATGTGTTATAATGGATTGATGTCCTACCAAACCTTAAAGCATTTGATTCACTTTACTTTTGAAAGTCCTACTTTAGCTTCCAGTGGTGTTTAAAAAAGTCCAATAATTGATTTTTTTTCTTTTTGGTTTGTCCCATTGACTTCAGTGCAAATTTTTTACAAAATTTCTCAGAACTTACATTTTGAAAAATTCTTATAGAGTTGG